TCTGTTTTTCAGCAAGCTGCATTCGTAGAGACCAAGACTGAGACATCTCAGACAAAGTTCATCTGCTCTATTGTGCCTACATGTTCAACAGATGTAAGCAGTGGATGAGTCAAGTAGTAACTCCTGAGCTGCCCAGTTTTCAGTAAATTGAAGTATGCTTCTGTGATTCTTGCCAGATGAACATATAATCATATTCATTTCTGAAATACTACCAGTTTTCCATGCCTTTGCATACCTAACTTGAGAGACCTCGAGTCCTGACTTTTTCAAGGCTCCTGGAAAAGCCACCACTTTTTCAGTACTTTGACATTGATTCTGTGGCTTTAAAAAGCTGCTGTCTTAAATGTCAAGCACACGATCATTACTCATTTTGGAAAATCTTAGCTTTAATACATATTCAGGGGGAAACAGTGACAACAACCAGTCAAAGGCAGGCTCATAAATCCATAATAAGGCACTTAAACAGACTGACTTCCAAGACTGTGGTCCACCCAGCAACTCTGTCCTAATGTCCTTCCTAAGCTGAGAAGCAAGACACAAAGCCTTTTTGGGTAAGAGTCATATCAGGAAGTGATGAGAGATTCCTTTAAAAGGGCACGAGCAACAAAGCCAGGACTTTTTTCTTGGTATATTTCTTCTTCCGCCACCTTAGGTCTTGTTTTCTCTTGTTTCCAGAGGTAAGCTCTGTGAGATGGGACATGCCTCTTACTTCGTGTCTATACAAGTGCCAGGTGCACTGCTAGAAAAATAATCTGTGTACAGGAGAAGTGCCAGCACAACTGGCAGCGTTCAGGAGGATGAGGAGCAGGGACCTTTGTGCTGTGTGTGGTGAGGAAACTGGAGTGAGATTTCATTCAGAATGAAACATGAGGAGATTGGTTTTAAAAGCTTCATGGGTTACATCTTTTTTGTGAAGTGGTTGGGGTCTCTATGATGTCAGTGTTAGTTTGGCCAAGAAGCAGCTCATGGCCACAAAACTCAGTACTTGTTAGCTAACTTTGCTCTCTCTGAAGCAAGTCAAAAAATGGCAGAAAACAGCACATATTTCCCCTCCTTCTAAACTTGCTGGTTGAAGTACTGTACTCTGTATTCACTCAAACTTCTACTTGGATGCATGAGAATGTTTCCTCACTGGGGCTTACAGAATTGGTCCTCTCAAGTTCAAATTACTGCACACTTGAACATCTTGTTAGAACTTAAAATCTGTAGCACCCTGTGAGAACTTACAGCATCCAAAACCCATTAAGAATTAGAAAAAATACGAGAGGCCCCTCTACCACTATTTTCATTCTTGTATCCATAGAAATAGAGGTTGAATTGTGAAAAATGTGCTATGTTATTTTAAATAATTGCTATTTAGTGATTATTGTAAAGCATGTGCTTTGTTTTAACTGGTCTGACACCGATTTCCATAGAAACAGAGCAGTTTCAACTGTCCTGTAGATTCCGTCTGTGTCAGAATGCTGGAATATAAAATGTTTAAAAATGTGGGAAAATCCTGGAATTCTGTACTTAGATTTTATTTTTTTGTTTACCCACAAAAGCCAAAGAGAAGATTAGTGAGCTTCTTGCAAACTTTATTCTGGGAGAAGAGAATGAAAGTTACTTATGTCATCTCCCCCAAAAAATACTGGGGAGAAAAGGAGAAGAAAAAGCAGTAGGAGGTATAATGGGGAGAAGTATATATATGTATATGTGTGTGTGTGTAAAAGTATTTCTTTGATTATATAATTCTGACAACTTTTGTTACTGTGCTATAGATCTTGTGATTTTTTTTCACTAATAGAAAATTTTAGTCCAACTAACTCTAACTTTTATTATTTCATATTGTTTACTTCCTAACTGACAGCACTCATTTTATTGGAATTTCCATACACTAAGCCATGATATGAGTTTCAAATTGGAAGTTTGGCTGAAGTTCAGGGAAAAATGAATAGTATGGGGCGGGGGGAATTAAGTGCTCAGATTTTGGCTTTGCTCTTGCAAAGCTTTCATGCAACAAACACAATTCCTGCATTTTTGACACTGTGAAATGGTTTCTTTTCGGCCCAAGTTCAAAAGAGAGAAACTGTGTGAAGCAGACGTGTTATCTAGCCTGGATTCTAACTTAAGGACTTTCATATGATTTTTTTCTTTGGGGGAAAAAAAAAACGGAATCTAACTCCTGTTGCTAATGAAGAAATGCCAAGGCTGAGAGATTCTACATGCTGAACATGTCTGGATTAGTTATATTGTCTTCCAACTACTGAGCACTGCCAGCTTGTAAAGGTGCTTTCAAGGCTATGGCAGAGAGACACATTCTGCACATCAGGATAAATACTTTCTCCCTTCCTGCGTTGTGTTTTACATGGCCATCTCTAAGTTTACTATTTAAGCACTACCCATAGCAGGGAATAGCAGGAATTACCAAAAATATTACAGACTTTAGGTTAATGTCAAATAGCAAAGTAGCCCCCATTCAGAGGGAGATATATATGTATAGATATAGATACATATACACATACATATATATATATATATATATAAAAATGTCAATGCCATTTTACTGAAAGCTTCAATTCCTGTCAGCCACAGTGTCCATAAGTTGCTTTCCTCCACAGGAAGGCTTCCCTGAAAGGCAGATGTCTACACACAGGAGCACTCAACTGCCTCTTGTGTTGTTATTCAACCCTCACTGCTTCACTTCCCTGGAGGTTACCTACATTTTGAACCTCTCCCAGTTCAATCATTCCACTTGGAAACTGTCTTTGCCTTTGGGTTATACCTGTACAGTGCCAAAAGCATACCAGGCTCATTCCTGCACCATGGGATGGTCCTTTCCTTATAGCACCACCGGGCTAGAAGAAGCAATTCACTGGGAAGAGAAGATTTACAAGTTTTCATTAGGCAACAGTCCTGATGGATCTAAAGCCTTTCAAGCAGGAGTACAGGATATTTCCCAGTGATTTTTGATGTTTTATATATTCTCCTGCATTGATTGTGTACTTTTCACAGATCCATTGTGTACTCAGGGTCACTCACAGTGGACTGAGTTGCCATCGTTGACATCTACATTCCATAGAACCTGAAATTATGGTAGACATGAAGTTATGGCAAGTAGGAAGTTGGGGAAGACAGATAAGTTCACCCTAATCATCTAAACACCTTTCTAGAATCTCCAGGTATGGCCCCCCAATGCTTTCTTCGGTGGGGTAAAAATCTGTGCTAGTTATTCCCCTGGCGTTCATTTCTGCCTTCGATGGGACTGACCTGAGACAGCAAGCACAGGAAGTGTCAGGTTGAATGACCAGGTATGAAAAGACCAAGGGGCAACATGAGAGGAGTAGCTGGAGGCTCCTGCAAGTCTCCTTCCAATACCACAGTTGGAAGGCAGAGGGTAACGGGTTCAGTTCAGAGGCAAACACTGTCCTTATCTGAAGCAGCCAGGAGGAAAAGCCTCACCTGGCAGAGCTACTGTTCCCTCTTCCCATCTGTGTTTGCAGTTGCAGATGCTTCAGAGCCGTTTTATGCCGTTATTTTCGCACCTTTGATCCCATTTATCTGAGTTCAGTAAAGCTTGATGGAATGTCCCTGACCTCAGACAGGTTCATGTGAAACCTGGTTTGCTTTTATCTGCCCAAGGAAGCATAACTGTGTTACCCAGTTGTTTTTCTGTGTGTGAAGAGGTAGAGGGTGAGGAACAAAAGTGGATTCAGATTCAAACATGAAGATCAAGTTGGTCAAAGTTCAGTGTAACCTCCAGAAAGAGGTGCCAGTTTGGAAATTCAAATCTGGATGTGATCCAACTTCAGTTGGAACGGGAGGAGAGGAACGGATTTAACAGAATTAGTTTGGTTCCATCATCTCTCACCCACTCACTCATTTTTTTTGGTTTTTTTTCTGGAGAAAGGTGTGTGAACATGCATGGCAGGATGTAAACAGCTGGGTGTTCTTGTCTACCAGTTTTATACCCCACCACAGCCCCAGGGCAGAGGATGCTTTCATGACCCATTTCCAGTGCTGGTTCTAGGCTCCTCTTTCTGAGGGCAGCTCTTACAGGAACTGGGAAATGAGTGTCCTGATTTATTCCCTTTAATCTCTCATACCTTTAAAAGGAGCTCCAAATTATATTTGAAGGTGGCTTAGCAGGTTGTCATGACAATTTGTTTGAATTTCCCACTGGTTTACTTTTCACTCTCACAAAAGATTTCAGGGAACAACTTGAACTCTCTCAAAGTAATTTCAAGATGTTTTCTCACTTTGCAGTGAAAACTTTAAGCCAAGCCTACACACTTAGAAGTCAGCTACGCTGAACAACTCAAGTCGTAAAGCTACTGGCTAAGGTGGTGTCAGGCAACAACGTGAGGAAACTGAGAAAGGGGAAGTTCTTTTGCAACATGGAAGAGGCAGTGGCTGTTTGCTCACTGAAATCCCTCGTCCAGAGATCCTGCAAGGCATAGTTATCAGCTGGGTTCCCCCGGAGACAGGTGAGCCAAGGTGTAAGGGCGGGAGCTGGGCTGGAGCATCAAACCAGGCAGGGTCTGGCATGAGGGGAGACGAGGTCTGAAGCAGGGAAGGTGCGCTGCGGGACACAGGGAGTGACGGGGAGCACCTTGCACCTGTCTTGGGAAAAATACAAGCAGGGAAATATCACGAGTCGGGCTGTGTGTGTAAATCTGTGACAGTCGTCCAGCCACTGCCGACCACGAATGGTGGGGGGGGGGGGGGGGGGGGGGGGGAGAAGACGAAATAGAGCCGCTGGGCCAGGAGGGAGGCGCCGGGACCGCGAACTGCCCGGAGAGGGGTGGGGAGAGCCGGGAGAGGGCGGGCGAGGTGCCCCGGGTCTGAGTCAGCCCGGCCGCACGATGCGCGCCCAGGGCAGTGCCAGGCGCGGCACCGCCGGGATCCCGCGTCCCTTCCCCGCCGCCCCCGCGTCCCGGCCGGACCCGCTCCCGCGGGCAGGGCCGCTCCGCCCTCGCCATCCTCCTCCTCCTCCTCCTCCTCCTTCTCCTCCTCCCGCGGGTCGGGGCAGCCCCGAGGGCGCCCGGCGGGCCGGGGGGCCGCGCCGCCAGCCAGGACCGGCCCCCGCCATGTGAGTCTGCGGGGCTGCCCCCCCGCCCCGCGCCGCCCGCTCCCGCACCATGAGGTACGGGGGTGCGGGGCAGCTGCCACGCCGCGCTCAGGTAGAGCCCGGGCGGCTCCTCCGCCTCCTCTCCTGCCTGGTCCTCGTGTGCGGCGCGGAGGTCGCGGCGCTCGCCGACTTCTCAGGTACGGGGCGGGCACCGACCGGCGGCTGCGGGGGCTGCGGGACGCCGAGGGGCTGGGCGGGGGTCGGGCACCCCCGGGCAGGGGGCTGGCAGGGGCTGCCAGCCCCCCGCATGCACCGAGGCGTCCCGCCGTACCCCACCATCCCGGACAGGGGCCGCTGGATCCCGCGCTCCCCGCCCGGAGCGGCGCCAGGAGCTGCGTATTCCCGGCGGGCTCCGTGCTCCGTATTCCTTCTCTCGGGCCGTGTCCCGGGCCTGCACCCCGGGGAGAGCGTGGGTCGGATGTGCTGTGAAGGAGGGCAGGGTGCAGGAGAGGGTTAAGGGCTTCCAGGGGGTTCAGGTGGGAAGGGACGCGGGGAGCTAAGCTGTCGCTGCGCCGTGGGAACGCTGCGCGTGGATCGGCCAGGGCCTGACGAAAAGTGCGTGGAAGTCCCTGGAAAGGTTCCCACTTTCTCCTGGAGACTTGAAGTCGGGCCCTGAGGGAGCCGTCCTGAACTCCGATAGCGAACAAGTGCTGCACTTCTCTCTGCTGGGGGAGAAGCCTCGTAGCGCCACGATGAGAGGAGTCCCTTGCCAGGGAGTAGAGGCACCAGTTGTCACCCAGAAATCCCAGCCGTGACCCCTGCGAGGCTGCTGCATCAGTGCAAATTGAAATGACTGCAGAAACTGGGAAAATTTATTCCCACTGGGACAAAGAAGCAATCTCTGTTTTTTGTTTGACAAAATCGCACTCTTGTACCTTTCCTAGTGCTCCAGGCCATCCCACTGCTGTTAGAAAGTTATTTAGAAGAGCTGTTTCTCTCCTTTCTATATGTGAGCACAGCATATTCCTGGAAGTTGGAAACTTAAGGAGCTGCCTCTCAGGCAGAAAGCAAATCTTACCCTTAGTGAACAGAGCAGAACTTCCCAAAAGCCAGTTGAGTGCACCAGAAAAAAGTTAGTATATATTTAACAGCCAAAATTTGTTGTTGTGCATATTAATATAGTTCGTGTTATTACAGTTCGAAATGCTGGTGAGGGTTCTGTAAAAACTATTTTCTCAGCAATAGGAAAATACAGTTTGTCATTTTATTATTTTGTCCAGCACCATAAGCCTGAACATTTCTAAGCAAGCAGCCACTGAATATAAAGACCAGAGTTACATCCTTGATAAGTTACATTTCTTGTATTAGATTCCTTTCACATGTAAAAGGCTTTTAAATTCTTGCTGTCTCATTCTTTGGTGTTTTTCTTTGCTGATTTGTAGATGTTAGTTTTGGAAGCACATGGTGGTTCTCCACAAGAACATAAAATAAATGTTCAAATTCTCCCTTTCAAATAGCTGCTGAGTTAAAAAATATCCCTTTATCTAGGACAGTTCCCCTCACAAAAGTCCATTCACTTTTCAAATGAAGTTATTTAGATAAGGTTATCCAAGATACATTTCAGAAGTACAGCTGTATTCAGTATTCATTGTGCACTGAACTTTCCAAATAGGTAGAATGACCAGAGAAAAAAACTCTGGCTCACCCCAGAGAGATGTCATGCAGACATTTCAGCAAATAAGATATAGTAAAGAAAATCAGATTCCAGAATTCTTTCCAGACTGGTAAGTTCCCAGGCCTGAACACATTCTGCTCACATTTTACTTTTAACATGGAGATCTAACCCAGAATGACAGAAAAGATCAAAATGTTACTGGAACTTTTTTTAAAAAAGGTATCCAGAGCATATGGAGAAGTTTTTAGCTGCTTCAAAAGGAGGTGCTGTGGACCAGGAGCTGCCAGAGGTGAGATGACACCCTGCAGTGCCATCCCCAAGCTGTTTAATGCCTTTTAAAGAATTACAAGCTGTGTAACAGCAGCTTCAAGATGAGCTTCTAGAGTTGATTTTGTTTATTTGCTCCCTCCTGTGGCAGGAACAGCGACATGATTTTCCTAAACTCTGTTGAATGTACATGGACACAAATCTGCCCTGTTTAAAGAACAGAGCCTTGCACCCGGGCAGTATCCTGAGGGATGAAGAGTGGGAAGCTTCTCTTACTGTAACCAACCACCTGCACTTTCCCTGTCCTAGAAAGGGCCAGGTCTAACCCTGCCCTTCCAAGGCCAAAGCTTCCAGGAGGCAGGTTACAAGTTTCCACCGGCAGCCCATGTCAGAACAAAAGGAACAGTGACCTGCTCCTTCAGTGTGTTCTGTGGGATTGGATCTGATCTTGGGAATTTAGTAGTGCACAGAGAATTGGAAGGCCAGTTGCTTCACCTTTTCCTCCTTTTCACAGACTTTAGGCTTTCATACTCAAATTACCAGCTACACACTTCTTTTGGGTCATTGCATTTTCTGCTTTGTGTGTTTTCAGCATCAGGTCTCTCCCCCAGCAGCCCAAACTGCGTTCCTCTCTCCCCCTCTCTCCACCCCAGCTTTCCAGAATCCCTTCCCAGAGTGCTGCCTGGTTCCAACACCTGTATGTGTCATCTCTGTTGTTCTCTTTATGCAAGTGTTAAATTGTGCCAGCAGTTGTAACCTGCCCAGAGCCTGTTTGTTCATCACCAGAGCCAGCTGCTTGCTTGGAACAACCCAAAGATGCTCCCTCTTGGGATCTGTTCAATGTTCTGGAAAGGGGAGCAGGGAACAGTGTATGTCAATACTGAAGGGTTGTTATTATTACGGGGTTTTTTATGTTTGACTTGTATTTGTGGTCTGTATCTCTTCCAGGATGTAGAGCAATGTGTTCTCGTTCTCATCTGTCCAGCTTTTAACTATGAAAAAAAATTTCTTGGTGGATTTTTTTTTTAAAGAGACATTTCTTCATGGTGCAATAATATTTTGTGATCAGTATGTGAATTAGTATTTTCTAGGGAAGATAAGTGTTCTAAAACAAGACACCAACAGCAGTTCAAAATCCAGCCCTGTGAGAATGACTCAGTAGTTTCTCCTTCTAATGGCAGGAAATATTGAAAGTACTATTGATGCACGCCATACTTAAAGATCTGCATAATCTATGATTCTCTAGCAGTTTGGTGGCAGCAATGAACGAATTTAAAAGTCGGACTTGATGATCTTGCAGGTTTTTTCCAACCCTAATGATTCTATGATTCTGTATTTATTAATTCAGTTGGTTACTGAAAGTGGAGATGTGCTCTGAGGTCTGCAGTCCTCTATGTGATTAATTTTTAAACGTGGAGTCCAAGCATTTGTGCCCAAATTTGAAACTGAAGGCTGAAGGTTTGGAAGAAGAGATATGTAATTCGCAGTTCTTTCCTTAGATCTTCATGCATATTGGTGTGATCCTACACCTAGAGAATTCTCTTCCCCTCATGCTTGCTCTTCAAAACACATCTTTTCACCAAAATATTTATTTATTTTCCTATTTGACCAAGCTCTGTCTTCCCATTGCTTTTCTCAGTGATCACTTGCAGCTTTCACATTTCAGATCAGGTCCCAGTCCAGGAGGCTGAAGACTGCTGTGAATTTTGCTACTTCTCCAGTGTCTGGGAACTAAAATTCTGAATACTCTGGGCTCCCAGGAGACTGTCACAAGAGTCATTTTTCAAGAAATCAAGGCATCATGACAGCCATTTCCTCACAACTCTTTTATGTTCAAGGACTGGTTCCCAAAATAGGCAAAATAAGGAGCTGGCAAAACCAGGAAACTTATTTACTGTACTTCTACTTCACTTACATCTGTGTCCTGGTGCTCTAGAAAGTCCAGCTGCTGAGGAAGAGGTGGCTTGACTGGGGTCGGTGGCATTTTGAGTGTCTTCCCAACAGCAGGAATCAGTGCTCTCTCTCTCATCCCCTGCCCTCCCTGCTGGCAGAGGGAAGAGGCCTTGGCTCTCTGTCCTATCACTGCTCCTTCTCCCACCTTTTCCCCATCTGCTGCCAAAGTGAACTGACCTCTTATCCATCTGGGAACACACTCCTTCTCCCTGGCAACACTGAGGAACCCCCATTCCCCTTTTTTGATGCCACTTCCTTGTCTTTCTTTTCTCCATGCTCCTTTAAGGTCAGGCTCAGGCTTGACCTGGCCTCCTTCACTCACTCACCACTCAATCTCCCTTTCCTTACCTGAGTCCCAGCCAGGTTTTCTGGGCAGCTTTCAAGAAATGTGGCTGTAACTGAAGATCAAAAATGAAGTAACTGTGTGATTGCATAACTGGGCTGAAGAGTGACTTTCTGGATGTGAACAGAAAAAGCGCCACTGCTTAGGCAGAACTTTTTAATCTCTATCCGCTGGTGTCAACTTTTCTGTCTTTTCTTCCAGAACAGTTCACCCAGAATTGGGCATCAGTTTAACTCCATAAACTTGATCTTCTGACCCAACCGTAGAAAACAAATGGATCTAATGAAAAAGCAAACCAGTTCACGCAAGAAACAAAATCTGATCCTGTGACCTTTCTGCGTTAAAAGTTTCCATTAAGTTTTGTGGCTTTCACCCATACCAGATTTGCCCCCAGGCAAAAGGAAAGCAAACAAATGCCTCTAACGAATGCTTTGTTTGTAGTAAGGTGGCAGGATCAATCAGGACCAACCACAATGATGCAGAGGTTTTCTTGGTGGTTTTGTGTTGGTCAGATAAAATCCTATATAAATTTTCTTGAGTCTGTTCTGTTGACTCACCGTGGCAATTGGAGCATGTCCTTCAACCAGGATATTTAAAGAAGTGCTAAAAGGAGTGATGCAATGATGCATCTTCTTAATACTGCCTTGTAAAAGTCAGGCAAAAGTGTTGGTTGCTTTTTTAAAGGAAAATATTCCAATTTAGAAACATGTTTCATTTCAGTAATATGGCAGTTAAACCTCAAAGTCTGGTTTAAAGCATTTCCTAGTGGAGTGGGTTTGGGTCTGGGATTTGTTCTGTGAAACAAAGGTGTGTGTCAGAAGTGAGATTTTAGTTGAGGTCATGGTGCTAAGATCCAAGGTTTTGCTTCTGTCCCTGCAGTTCTCACTGCTTTCCTGAGGAAGTGTAACTTATGAAGTCACATTTTAGATGTGCTAATATTTTTTTGTTAAATCCACTGA